CCTCTGCCTCCTGAGTAGCTGGGACTACAGGTGCCCAGCACTATCCTCAGCTAGTTTTTCTATTTTTGGTAGAGATAGGAACTCACTCTTGCTCAGGCTGGTATCAAACTCCTGAGCTCAAGCAATCAACTTGCCAAACAACCCGCTTTGGCCTCCCAGAGAGCTAGTGTTACAGGCATGCGCCACCATGCCGGGACTGCAACAACTGGTTTTGAAGCCAAGTCTGTGTTCTTAATAATGTGCTGTCTTAGCTGAAAAGTGTTTCAATAGGTTTATTCTAAAGTCCCACATCCCTAAAGGCTGTGTGTTCAGAGAGTGGGAGCCAAAGCCCCTAGTGATGAGATAGGAAAGAGTAAGGGAGCATAAGACTCACATAGACAGGGAGTCCTGGGAGCCTATGGAAGATAAGGATCAGGAACAGCGTCAGGGGGTCAGGAGCATGAAGCCTCTAGGCTGAGGGTCTTGGTGGGGAAATGAACCAGGCCTGATGGAATACCTGTGTGGATGCCCCACTTGCAGAAGAGGCTACTTTCAGAGAAACCGGTGGCACCCACAATCTGCCCGATCACGTGCACCTCAGCCATGCCCCTGGGAGGGAAAAAATACAATCACAGCCGTGTGAAATAGGTGTATTATAAATGCCCTCTCACCCCCCAAGGAGAGCTTGGAAAAATGAGGGGCGCCAGCATCTAACTCTGCCATGTGTGAAACAACCTACTTTTCTGGCTCAGTTTCCCTGAAAGCCCCGCCCCAGGGGCCTATGGCTCCGCCTACGGACGCAAGAGTCCCGCCTCCCACGTCATATGGGCCCTCAAGCTCCGTGAAGCGCGTGCGTTTTGAGTTCAGGAAGGCGTGAGTCCCGCCCCCAGGCAAAGCGCATGCGTTAGTCGTACCTCCGAGAGCCTAACGGTTAGGAAAGGCGAAGGTGGTAGCGGGGATCGTAGTTCATCGGCCTGTCCAGTCCTTCTGTCCGCGAGCGCCAATGAGATGTAACTCGAGCATCTCCCAGGACCTACCTGGCAGCGAGAGAACTGAAGCGCCGTATCTCTGCTGCCGCGTTCGCCTTGGGTTCCTCGGTGGTTGCTGGAGCAACAGCAGGCTCTAGCTTTGGCCAGTACCCGCCCTGCACGACTCTGATTGGTGCCGGCTGCCTTGAGGGGCGGGGCGAAGCTCTGACGGACGTTTAGAAGTAGCGTCTCTTCAGCCACCGCTAAAGGGTCCATCATTTGGGGCGTGGCTGTGCAGCTGCCATCTTGTGTGTGGCAGGGGATGTTTGAGCGCTAGCTCTTCCAGATACCTTCCTTACAAAGTAAGCAAATCTCTCGATGCCCGGTTACCTGCCCATCCCCCAACAAACTCCAGTACAAGATCACAAATTAAAGACAAGCCTAGTTCTTCTGAGACAGAGTCTCAAACAGTTGCCCTGGGCCGTGGCGTCATAGTTCACAGCAACCTCCAACTCGGACTCGAGCAATCCTCTTCCCTCAGTTTTTCTATATTTAGTAGAGACGGGGGTCTTGCTTTCTCTGAGCTGGTCTCGAACTCGTGAGCTCAACCAGTCCCCACCCCCACCCCCCACGCCTCGGCCTCCCAGAGTGGTAGGAGTATAGGTGTGAGCCACAGCACCCGGTCCTGGAGTCTCTCCTTATTAAGAGAGGCTCGAGAAATTGTGAAATGTGTTTGTCTTACGTTTTCAGAGTTTCCCCCCAAGTTTTTTTTTTTTTGCAGTTTTTGGTCAGGGGCGGGTTTGAACCCGCCACCTCTAGTATATGGGGCTGGCGCCCTACTCCTTGAGCCACAGGCACCACACTCCCTCCAAGCTTTTTAAGGACCAGAAATCCAACTTCTTTCTCAGTGCTGCTGACAAGTTTTTCACTGTTAGTGCCTGATTCTGAGCAAGATGGGTGGGGGTTGGGGTGGAGATGAGAAATAAGGAACTGAAGTTCCTTTATGTGCATAAAATCCTGTTTTCGAAGACTGGGCTTAACTAGTAATTTGTCTTGTGACCCTGCCTGGCTCTAAATCTCAGTTGTTTCATCCATGTAGTGGGCGCACGAGGTACCTACCTTGTCTGGATTCTCTTCCCATCCTCTAAGTCCAGTTAAACCTTAGTCCTTTATTCCTCCAGCCTAGACAAGGTATCCTGCTAGAACTTTTCCACTCCTGTTTTTTTTTTTTTTTTAACAAAACGGGGACTACAAAAGAGTCACCAACTCACAATTATAGGGAGGGGACAATATTTCAGTGGGATAAAATTTAGAGTATAAATAAGATAATTCAATAAAGTATTTTCCCTAAGATAGGTATTTTATTTATTTATTTTTATTGAGACAGAGTCTTACTTTGTTGCCCTCTGTAAAGTCTAGTAGTGTCTTCGCTAACAGCAACCTCAAATTCCTGAGATCAATGTTCTCTTGTCTTAGCCTCCCTAGTAGCTGGGACTACAGGTGCCTGTCATAAGGGCTGGCTATTTTTTTTTCTTTGGTTTAGCATACCTGGGCCAGATTTGAACCCACAAGCCCTGGTGCATGTGGCCAGCACCCTAACCACTGAGTATGGGCATCCCAGCTTAAGTATTTAAAATTACTATTTATTGTGAGTGTCTTTTTTGACAGTCCTCATAAACTACACACATTGCCTCGCACACGTCCTCACCCTACTGCTTTGAGCTACAGGCGCCTCCCAATATTCTTTCTTAAATATTTTTTCAGTTGGTTTCCCCACTGGTTGATATTATTAAGAAAATGAGTCATCCCAGGCTTGGTGGCTCATGCTTGTAATCCTAGCACTCTGGGAGGCCAACGTGGGTGGATCGCTTGAGCTCAGGAGTTTGAGACCAGCCTGAGCAACAGCAAGACCCCATGTCTTCTAAAAAAATAGCTGGATGTTGTGGTTGGTGCCTGTATTCCCAGCTACTTGGGAGGTTAAACCAAAAGGATCACTTGACCCCAAGAGTTTGAGGTTGCTGTGAACTATTACACCATAGCACTCTACCCAGGGTGAGACTCTGTCTCAAAAAAAAAAAAAAAGAGAGAAAGAAAAAATGAATCACAGGTCAACTGTCTAGATTTAAGTCTTGGCCCTACCCCTTTTGTGTGACCACTCGTCTCTCCGTGCCTCAGTTTCCTTATCTGTAACATGAGAATGAATAATAACCACCTTGTAGTATTATAATTGTCAACTTTAAATAATGAGATTCAGAAAATAGGATTAAGTATAGAGTTTATTTGAGTGAAAAGCTTGAGAATCACCATCCAGGACCCTGAAAGCATGGCATTGGTGTTCCAAAGTGGAGAAGCTGAAGTTTTACTTACATGGGCAAGGATAGAGTTAGCAGGGTTAAAACATTTTGTGTACAAAGCCAGTGTATACTTACAGCTTTTTGGTTAGTACAGCTTGCTACATTCCAAGGAAGATTGCTTTATTTTTTTATTTTTTTTATTTTTTAGAGACAGAGTCTCACTTTGTCTCCCTCAGTAGAGTACTGTGGCATCACAGCTCATAGCAACCTCCAGCTCTTGGGCTTAGGCGATTCTCTTGCCTCAGCCTTCTGAGTAGCTGGGACTACAGGCAGCCGCCACAATGCCCAGCTATTTTTTGTTGCAGTTTGGCCGGGGCTGGGTTTGAATCTACCACCTTCAGTATATGGGGGCCAGTGCCCTACCCAGTGAGCCACAGGCACTTCCTGGAAGATTGCTATAATATTCCATGAGGAGAAGTGATACTCTGAGGGGGTCTTCATCTCTGCTGCCACTTGGTCATTCCTAATCATTTCTAGGAAAATAACCAAAGTTGCACTGCGTGATGTGTGACTCGGGCTACATAGCCACATTCCTCTCAAGGCTCAGAATAATTAAAAATTGCTACATCTTTAAGTTATTCAATTTCATATTATCAAGACTTAATGAGTTAATGTATGAAGCTGTTTTAGAATAATGTCCAGATTCTAGAGCGTCCTCCTTTCAATAGGTGGTGCCTAATTCCTTTCCCTTTTGGTGTGGCTGGATTCAGTAATTTGCTTCTAACCTATAGAACTTGGTAGAAGTGCTGCTATATGACTTCTAAGACTAGTTTATGAAAGGGCTTAAGGCTTCCTCTGCTCTTTCTCTTGGATCACTCACTTTGAGGGAAATAGCCACAATGTTGGGAGGACATTGAAGCAGTCAGTAGAAAGACACAAATGGTGAAGAACTGAGGTCTCTGGGGGACAACCAGCACCATGCAAGCGACCCATCTAGGAAGCAGATCTTCCATCCCTAATCAAATCTTTTTTTTTTAAAGATGTTTTTATTAAATCATAGCTGTGTACATTAATGCAGTCACTGGGTACAGCATGGTATTTTCATATACATTTTGAAATACTCTCATCAAACTGGTTAATGTAACCGTCATGTCATTTTCTTAGTTACTGAGTTAAGACATTCATACTCTGCCTTTAGAAAGATTCACTAGTACCCTTGTAAGATAAACCATAGAGATGACCCCACCAATCACCTTCCCTCCACCCATCCACCCCTCTCCCCTCCCCTCTCCCAGCCCCCTAATCAAATCTTCATGTGACTGCAACCCTGGCCAACATCTTGGCTGCAGCTTAACCAACCAGCCAAGTTGTTGCCAAATTCCCAACCTACGGAAACTATGAAATAATAAATGTTTATTGTTACAAAACCCTTAGTTTGGGGGGATTATTTGTTATGCAGTAATAGATAAACAATTCAAATCTGTAATGAATTCAGGGCAATGTCTGGCACATAAAAAAACTATAAATTGTTAATTATTGATGGTTTTCATTGTTGGTATTGTTATTGAAGTGGCATAGCTTACAAATTGGCATTTTTTACAAGCATATGAGTATTTATTTTAAAATTTTTATTTAAAAATGTTTTTAAGTGTGGTAAAATACATATTTATCAACTTAATTATTTTTAACTTTATAGTGCAATACTGTTAGTACACTATTGTGAGTACATTCACAGTGTTGTGCAGCCAGTCTCCGGAACTATTTTCATCTTGTAAAACTAAACTTTGAGATCCATTAAGCAACTTCTTGCCTATTCCCATCTCTCAGCTCTTGACAACTACCATTCTATTATATTTTCTGTCTCCATGAATTTTGCTACTCTAGGTTTCACATGTGGGTGGAATCATACAATATTTGTCCTCTTGTGACTGGATTATTTCACTTAATATAGTATTTTCTTTCTTTCTTTTTTTTTTTTTTTTAAGACAGAGCCTCAAGCTGTCCCCCTGGGTAGAGTGCCGTGGCATTACAGCTCACAGCAACCTCCAACTCCTGGGCTCAAGCGAGTCTCCTGCCTCCGCCTCCCAAGTAGCTGGGACCACAGGCGCCCGCCACAACACCCGGCTATTTTTTGGTTGCAGCCGTCATTGTTGTTTTGGCGGGTCCGGGCTGGGGATTCGAACCTGCCACCTTAGGTGTACGTGGCTGGCGCCTTAGCCGGTTGAGCTATAGGCGCCAAGCCTAATATAGTATTTTCAAGGTTCATTCCTGGTGTAACATGTGACAGGATTTTGTTCCTTTTTTTTTTTTTTTTTGGAGACAGAGTCTATGTCCCCCTTGGTGGAGTGCTATGACGTCACAGCTCATGGCAACCTCCAACTTTTGGGCTTAAATGATTCTCTTGCCTCAGCCTCCCAAGTAGCTGGGACTACAGGCGCCTGCCACAACGCCCAGCTATTTTTTGTTGCAGTTGTCATTGTTGGTTAGCTGGCCCAGGCCGAGTTTGAACCCTCCACTCTTGGTGTATGTGGCTGGCACCATAACCACTGTGCTATGGGTGCTGAGCCAAATTTTCTTCCTTTTTAAATATGAATAATCTGCTGGGTACAATAGCTCATGCCTATAATTCTAGCCTTCTGGGAGGGAGAGGCAGTTGGATTTCATGAGCTCAGGAGTTCAAGACCACCCTGAGCAAGAGCGAGATTCTGTTGCTACGAAAAATAGAAAAACCAGGTCGGCTTGGTGGTAGGTGTCTGAAGTCTCAGCTACTCAGAGGCTGAGGCAGGAGGATTTCTTGAGGCCAAGAGTTTGAGGTTTCTGTGATGTCACAGCACTCTACCCAGGATGACAGAATAAGACTCTGTCTTAATATATAATAAATAAATAGGAGAAGTGTTCCTTTTTTTTTTTTGAGACAGAGTCTCACTTTGTTGCCCATGGTACAGTGCGGTGGAGTCACAGCTCACAGCAACCTCAAACTCTTG